ATCTGTGCTTGCTTTACCAATGTCACTGGCTTGGTTTAGCAGCTCCGCAAAGTTGTCGTGATTGCTTTCGATCGGCAATAATTCGAAATTGATTATATTGTCACCGTCACCGTCACCACCAGGTTCAGAAAGATGAACATCTGACATACTTCTCAGCCAATATGCATTTGACTCTGCCAATAACTTGTTGAAATAATTTGATAAACGTATTTGTTGTCAGAGCTCAAGGAACTAAGCTGCCAGGACTACACTGCATCGCAACTTGATGTACGTCGTATGCATATTGGCAGACTACGCAATGAATTTAGTGGCGCCACCTTGTACATGATATGATTTATATTTTATTCAATAAAAATTTATTTCTTAATAATATTTGTGCAAAGAAATTTTTTGTTTCATTAGCTGTCCGTGCCTTTTTCGTGAATGAAACGCGCAAGTAAAATTTCAAATTAAGTACCATGGAGGCTGCTATGTTTGTTTTTATTATTGGAGGACGCTTATGCGTGTGATCATTTCATATTTGGAATTAGCATTTCCTAATATGGTAGGATGAAAATACCCCGTAAAATGCCGCAAAATTACGGCACGCTGTAACGTATGGCGTTACAGTGACAGATGTACAATAATTGGACATATACGCCACCTGTCAAATAACACACCTGCCAAAAACTTCAAGCACTACTCTGTTCTAAATTCGACTATGGAAATGCATTTTTCTATGAATTGCCAGCAGATCATATCAAGCCACAACCCTCTGAATGGCCTTTCTAGAAGTTATATATATCAGACATTCTTCATTTCAAATCAACTCCTCGCACACTCCGCTCTTCAGCCAAATGTTTGTTGCATACTCCCAACTTCAGGCTTGCATCAACTGGTGGGCGAGCATTTTCCCGAGCAGCTCCACGCCAATGGAACTACTAATTGTACTGCGCTTGTGAACAATACGTCGTATTGAATACTGGCGCTATATAAATCTTATTGATCAAACATTGAGCTAGCTGACGACGATCCACTGGTGGGGGATGATTGCCCATAACACGAAGACCAAGTTGATCCCACAAATGTTCAATTGGTGCCATGTCAGGTGAATAAGCAGGCCAATCCATTCAGCTAATGTTGTGTTGGCGTAGAAAATCTGTGACAACACATGCACGGTGTGGTCTGGCATTATCATCATGTAGGACTGCCGCAGCTCCTATCCTCTGTAGACAAGGTAACACAATAGGTCACAGGATCTCGTCTCTGTGACGTAATGCAGTTAAGTTGCCATCAATAACATGGAGAGGGGTCCTTTGGTGGTAGCTGAAGCCACCCCATACCATGATGCTGCCACCACCAAACTGGTTGTGCTGTCTGATGATGTCATCAGTGAAGCGTTCACCAGGGCATCTATAGACAAAAATACGACCATCATTGTTCTGCAAAGTGAATCTTGACTCATGTGTGAAGACGACAGAAGACCACTGTGTCCAACGAATGTGCTCTCGAGACCAGTCAAAACTAGCAGTTCTGTGGCATGGGAGAAGAACTGGCCTAACAGCCTGGCACCTAGGTCTGACATTTCTGGCCCCCGGACGGTTCCGCACAGTCTTGTCACTCAAGTTGGTATGAGTTGCTGCTCTGTGGGTCCTACTTAGAGAATTGGCAGTTACCATTCGGTTGCGAAGGGCTGAGATAAGGAGGTAGCGGTCCTCAGCAGGAGTTGTGACACGTGGACGACCTGACCTGAGTCTGTCATGTACTGTATGGGTTTCTCTGAAGTGAATAACAGATGGGCTCATATTTAGTATTCTGTCAGCTTCTCGCAAGGAAACACCCTCATTCGACCAGCTTATGGCCCTGGTTCTCTCTTTAATTCTTAAATGTCGACTTGGAGGCATGCTTGCAAAAGCTGGACAAAACCATTAGTGAGTGTATTCTGATTACCATAATTGGAAGATGTGTTCACAAGGATGCATTATGTACAGGGAAAAAACTCAACATGCTTTGAAGCATAAGAATTAGAGAAGGTGTGTGATGAGCAATGTTCCAACTTTTCACCTGATTTTCCCTTGAAAGAATACGTAACTGGGAAATTGAGGGCGTACCTATTCTTATCTACTGGGTTAAGAATTTAGACATGTGTGGCAGATTAAAAACTGTCGTTGTGGCAATATTGGGGTTACATGACATCGTTTAACATGGTTCAAACGTATTTGATGTAAAAACTCCTTAAATTGTCACCAGACTACAATTTGAGATGTGGCATAATATCTCTACCATAGGAACTTATGTAAAAGCATTATAATACTGCCAAAATAGCCACTATTCACTAAAATACAACCACCATTCTCTCAAAAATTAAGCTCCAAAAGAACTAGGTAGATTTTAAGGAAGGTTAACTTTAATTATATCTGTCAGGTTCAATAATAACAGATCTTGCACACTATACAAAAATTAAAAAGTTCATTGTTATCAGGAATATGTCCGATCCTGGACTTGAATAATATTGCAAATGTTGTAAAGACAGTAGTTAGTAATTTGGTCTAATTGAAAGCCAATTAAAATCCTTCGATTTGGAGATCGCACATCTGACGAACCTCGTCATCATATATCTTGAACATCTCTTTCACCGATGGCCGTTGTTCCAACCGCTTAAAGTACTCCGTCACAAATGGGTGCTTTCCATCCTCCCAGTAAGAGCTGAACCCAACAAGGCCCATTTTCTTCAGGAATACCATGAGGTATATATCAGCCGAGGAGAAGTTGTCAGTCATGAAGTATTCTACTTTTTCACCTGTTGAAATAGTTTAAATTATTGTGAAACGTAAGAAGGGATGAGAAATCATTTGAAGGCAGTAAATAATATATGTACCAGTTCGAGGATTATTTATTTATTTATTTATTTGTTAGCTTAATGTTATATTCACCTTTATCTGCTCTTTCCTGAAACTTTTCTTCAGCAGTATCCACGATGTTCTTCACTTTCTCTAGAACATCCTTGAACACTTCTTCAGTTGGGTCATACTCAACAATATTCACTTTCTTTTTATCGTACAAATCTGCCAACTCCGGGTGTTTTATGGCGTTTTCAGCGGCTCTGGTTGGAATAATGTTGTGACCGACTTGAAATGAAAAAATTACAAATTACCCATGACACGTCGGACATTAAAATAATGATGTAATGACAGGCATGTACATTGCCTACCTATCCAAATATTTTTCCAAGCGTTCTGATTCTTCACTTCGGGTACATACTTTGGATATCTATAGGATCCGCCAACAAGAGTTCCTATATAATAACAGTCAACCAAATCTTCAAACTGTGTGATTTGTTCATATAGTGGAGATTTCTTGTCAGGATAAATTGCCGAAGCTATAATAAAGCATGAGAATATGAATCAGTCGCATATGTCCTTCGATTGATTGCGGAAATATATATTGACACTGATTATGAATGTTTCTGTTAAACATATTCTTCAAATGATATAATGTAACTAAATGGCATACCCTTATAAACGATATTATTCACCAAGAAAATACAACTAGTTTACATTCCATTCTAAAGGATAGCCGTGATGCTTTCAAGTTCAAGTCACATTCAGAGAAATCGCAGACATAGAACTGAATAAAATGTAATAAACGACTAAAGATGTGATAATCATATGCAAGTCCCAGGTATCTACAAAGAGTGGGACGTCCTCTCGTCGACTCCCCGTATAGTGGCCGTATATCTCTGAGTCGTAGGTGAGTCCAAGTTTACGCCACACGCATGGCGAACAACTTGAAGGGGGAGTAGTTATATGGGGAAAGACTTTCCAATGTGCCCCGCCTCTTATACTAACACTTACCCTAACCCTCCAGCCCCTCAATTCAGTTGTATATGCCCCTCTAGTTAATTATAGGTGTCTTGAAGAGGGGCACATACAGTTAATTTGAGGGGCAATAGGGGGTAGGGGCCGGGTTAGATAAGGGGTACATTAGAAAGTCTTTCCAAGGGGTTATGGGATCGCAGCTGATACAGAAAGCACGAATAAAGTTAAATATTTTAAATTAAAATATTCCTTAAATTCAAACAACAAAGAATCATGCACACTTTATCTTAGTGTCAGTGTCGGAACGAGAACGGATACGTCACTGCTTTGTGCATGACCTCCGCGTGAAAAAATGACGTCATCGGACTGCCTGGTCACACGGCGGTCGTTTTGAACGTGATCAAGGTGACTTGACTCGTAGTTGATTTCCGAGAGCTTTTCTCGCTATCAATTTTGATTAATTTTCACTGCCGTTGATAAAACGTTTTATTATTAGAGTGATTTTGTACATTTATGATGAAATAAGCAATATTGGATGCACTTTATCTGATATTTATACCCACCGAAAACGAACACAACTGGTCAGCTCGTTATGTAAACAAAGCATGCGACGCCAGGTATTTATGTTCACTTTCTCGAAAGGCGATGTGTGCTAACCAGTTACTATAGTTTAAACGGAATTACATGAATTATTTTTAAACATTTCAAAATGACCATTCCCGCGAAGAGACATATATTTATATGGATGGTAACGCATGACATTGATCTGCTGAAAGAGGTTCCGGAAACAGGCCTGGGACCTCAGCAGAGTGGATGGAAATAGCGAGAGCTCAGTCAAATGTCTGGAAACTAACCGTTGAGTGGAAACCCCGGAAAACACTAAACCAGTTGAAAAACACTAAACCTATTGAAAAAGACTAAACATGTTGAAAAAGACTAAACCTGTTGAAAAAACAGTAAACCCTTTGTAAAGGGCGAATTATGGATATACCATGATCGTTCAGTTGAGTATTTATGAAAAGAAAGCTAAAGAAAAATCCCTTTATGATCGAGGCCAGGGCCGCAGCTGATTTGGCAGCAGGACGCCCTCTATGTTAGATATTAGTATATCGCGCCCCAAACCAAACATTTTATTTTATTTATTTATATATTTACAAATTATGAACACAGCAATTGGCATATTTTTAGATTTGAAATTCCTAAAACTACATCATGTCAAAAAGCCGCCTCGAAAATGACCCTGACCATGCTGGAAATTTTTTAAAAATTCCTCGGAAAACAGCACATAACTAAATGTATTTAACCCAGATTTAATACATATAATAAACTTAATAGTTTAGATTACATTGAGGGCGCCCTTGTGAAATCAGCTGCCGTCGTGGGTTCTGTTTCATGTTTTCGCTTTCTTTTAATCAAATATTCACTGGACGATTATGGTACACCCATAATACACCCTTTACCTCGGGTTTAGTGTTTTTATTGTCAGGTTTAGTGTTTTTCGACAGGTTTAGTGTTTTTCGACAGGTTTAGTGTTTTCCGGGGTTTCCACTCAACGGTAACTAACTACTAATTCAGATTCTGGACGTGAAATGACATTAAAAAAATATTGGATAGTTATATTATGGTTGCACAATGAGAGACGGATTGACAATGTTCTGTTTCTGTTACGTAACGCAAACGAAATTAGAACAACACGTTACGTTCCCGTTACGTACGCAAATCTTAAACTCTCTAATATAAGAATACCGCCAATATATACACATGAGACCACGTTTTTTTTATCATAAAACAAGGCAACGTTACCCTTTGGTTTGAAACACATCACCGCGTGTTTTTGTTTTTGTTTTTGTTTAAAGCTGCTCTTTGTTTGCAGTCGGATAATATATTCAGTGGTATTACTATCGTGAAGTTAGTGTGCTACTGTAATTATCGATTGAAATTGTTTTGCTTGTTTTGTAATCAACCCCTCACAAAATAAAACACATCACGATATTGAGTTGGTGAAATGTACTAGTAGAAATAAGCAACATTAAAATCAATTGGAAGCAATCGATAATATTATGAAATACTACATGCAAAGCGGGGGATACAACTCCCAGTGACCTCGATGTGTTCATTGTCACAGGTATGTCATTCGACTCACTTTCTGGAAATTCTTCTTCCAAATACTTTAATATTGCTGCCGATCCACAGACAGGCTTATCGCCGTGCACCAGGGTGGGTACCTTTCCGGTAGGGTTCATTTTCATGTACCATGGCGCTACGTTTTCACCAGTAAATGGGTTCACTACGATGTAATCATACTTTAGACCCTTCTCAGCCAATCCAATCATTACCTAGAACCAGAACAATATATTAGTAATACACAAATATGCGCCCATGGGAAATAAGAATTGTTGGCATCTTTCTTGATTATATTGTGAAGCTTCACAACAGTCGAAATTCGTCGTAACTATTTTCCCAAAGTTTTCACTTTGCCGAATGAAAACGGTTTAAACTAGACATTACCGAAAGGTCATTCAATTGCAAGATATACATCGCATCTCACTGTTGGTCTAAGGGTGATTCATGTACAAAAGGATAAAATCATCAGTTCGACCAGCGATCAATGTAAAAAAGCCGTCTATCCTAAACTTGTCCTAGTCAAACAGACGAGCATTACAATTGACACTCGACTCATTATAACTACAGTCAATCGTATAACTGTGTTCATTTTATAAATTGTAAGCCAGCGTAGAGGGCGAAAGGCAGATTAAAAATAATAAAACCTAGTTTATAAACATATGTTTTACAAATTCATAAATACCGATCGTCACGTGTAATTCAAATACTAAATAGTTATTGGCTGAAAGTGTTCAGCGTTGTTCATCCCCATAATGTACGCACATAGCATCACGCCACGTAGCAACCGCGACCGCCCACATATTCAAAATGAAGTGTTTACTGATTAATAGTAAATAGTGTTGAACTGAACTTACTCATCAGAACTCACGATGATGTCACAATGTCATTTCTGGAGGCCAATTTGAAATCTAACGGCAATTTTGATTTATGAAAATTAATATTCATAACTGAATTTCACGTAATGTAATTCATGGATCTATCAGGGGGAAATCTCTTCTCTCTTGGGGGTCTCCACACGTGTCAGGGGGATCTCGTCTCGTCTCTCTATCTCGTCCCCTTGAGGTACGGGATCGGGAATGTCACTTATACTTTACAGTCAAATAAGACACACACACAACGAAATACGTTTCAGCTCTCGTCTTAGTCGGTCAATCGAGCACTCTATCAGACACAGCGCCCTGGGGAAAAAATCCCCAAGACTCTCGCAAGGCTGAACCAAGACTCGCCCAAGACTGGACTGCGTCAAGGCTCGCCCCAAGACTCTCTCGGACTGACTGCGTCTGTCGTGGAGTATTCGCCAAGACCAACTCAAACTCTCTTTATTCATTTTCAAAACTCTGACCAATTACAATGCAGTAAAAAGACTCTAAGGCGTAAACTTCAATCATAAAGCCAATCAAACTAAGTACTGAATAACTACGGATGTCAGAATAGCGACGGTATCTTGTAATTAGTTCCAAATCACTGAGCCAAGTTCCGTCCAAAACTTCAAATAGACCTAAACGATGACAGACATAACACAGCAATTCGCTAATAATCAACTAATTAAGTCGGTTAACAGATACGCAAAAACAAATTCATGACAGATCTTGGACTCAATTGCAATTGAAAGCTCTTCTAAACAATAACCAAACAATGTATGCAATTTTGATATCCATGTATGTGCGATGACGATCCCATTACGTGAGATTTCCATGTCCACGGCAATTGCGCTTCAGAGCCCAGTGACCGCTTCCAAAGATTCGGTTGGGTGATGAGAATGTGCGGGCCGATGTACCCGTTTGAAAATAATCTCAAAGCCTTAAGTTGTACATTACATAAGTTTACTACATGTTAACATTCATTTCATTACTACCGTTGCTTCGTCCTTCATTAAATGAGCTTTGTTCAACACAAAGGCCGCTCGTGAAACAGACATAAATATATGCTCAACTTTGTGACAGGCGATGAACCATGTATTCGAACCATAGCATTGTTGGAATACAATAGTCATATACATTTAAAACTTCATATATTTGCATTAACCCTGCTGTGACTCTTGTTCAGTTAATTTTCCCACTTTTACAGAAAAATCTCTTTCTAACCCCTTTAAGCATTAGTTTTGGATTTTGTACAGTTATCGAACACATTCCTGATACTGAATTTAGAAGGCACTTCTAAAATAAAACTAAAATGACCTTGAGTGATTACACCAATGTCACAATAACCTCATTGCTATCAAGTGCTGGCTAGCTTCAGCGCTCCAATATCTCAGGATTTAATTTGTTGCCATAACAACTGATATCATCATTTTTGTGGTGATCACAATAATCCTGTGTTCTGCGTGTAATACAAAATAAGAATGCAATATAGAACTTCAAAGGGAAGTAAGTGTTCGTTAACTTGAACTGGACACGGTGCAACGACCACTACTACGCCTTTTAAGTTTGTGTACTACATGCAAGGTAAACTACCCCAGTACTAACTGGTTTTGCTAGCAAAATTTGCAAATGCAGGAAACAGAGTTTCAGAGGGTCTAGATTTCAAAATTATTAAGGGGAGTATGACCCAGGACCCCCTAGTAAGATCGCGTAAGGTCGGTGAGCAGATCAGGTCTGCCCCCCCCCCCCCACAATGCAAAATTTAGTGCCGTCGGCTCTGTTGTTGTCTATGTTGGCATGTACACGTTCAGACGACCTTGCCTTGCCCAACTGGGGTCTGTACGGTGTCATTCAAATGAGCTATTGGTATGGGGAGGCACACCTATATATTGTGTGTGACTGATTTTACCTCACATTGTCCGCAATTACTGTTTTGGTAATATGTAGATGCGATGGAGAATACATTCTAACTTACCCGATATGCGTAGTAAGACGCCTTAAAAACGTACAACTTCATATTACCTTCACCAGACATAGTTGTTATTTACTCGATTTCGATGGTTCACATTTATTTCATTAACATGTTAATGACTCTGCGTCAGGGTATAAAATAGCCAATCAGGCAACTCAGGAGTCCAGAATCCCGTTCCGGTCGGGTTCATTCTCTTGCATAGAGGCCTAGGTTTTGCGCATGCTCGTCACGGTAGTTAGACACTTCTCCGTCGGCCAATCAGGAGAGACAACAGTGACATCCAATGTCCAGAACTGTCGCCGGGCACAACAAACATTTAAAAAGAAACAAAACAAAAAACATATTATGTAATCCAAGTCAAATAGTTATCACACACCACTCTATGTCCGATGACTATCACTTTTTATTGGGGGTTTACTCTGAGAAGTTCAAAACCAAATCATTCGATGTTTGCGGTAGATGTTCGGACAGTGCTTTTCACGCAATACTCACAATCTCGCAGTGAACGAATTATCACCTTTCGTAATCCAGAGAAGAAGTAGAGAATACATTCAGCAACGCCCATTACGTGTGAATCTGTGCCTTTCTTGAATCATGGCCGATTTAATTAGAATCAAGATTTATTCAAAATTCTTCAAATTAATCGTTAACATATATACATTTTAAACACAACATTTAGTATCGTCACTAAAGTTTGGCGCAAAACGTTTGAATTGTAAAAAACAGGGGCTTTATTTTAATAGGTGCCACGGTGGAATTCTATACTGACAATATTCCCCCGCTCAGGCATTATAAATGTTCCAATAAAGTGTTATTTCATATGTATAACGATTTATGCACATGCACACATTGCACGTAATGGTCAAAATGTGGGCATCGGTTCAGAAATATACATATATAGTACTGAATATACATATAGTACTGAAAAAAAAACAAAGTAACAGCCACCAGGTGGCGGGCTTCATATCTCCTCTTCCCAAAATTACACACGAGGATGCTATGCACATAGTTCACATGATCACGTGCTAATAAGGAGGTTATAAGTACATATTTTGAATATGTGAAAACAATTTTTTGCTGCTGAATTAACATTCATGTCATACCTCGTCAAATAACCTTGTTCCACGCTAAGTCATAACATAAAATAGTAAATAAAAGTAACGAAACACATAACTACGTTGAATAGAGCGATTGCGGCCAAATATTGTCTACTATATATCATAACAAACATGTTTTATTTTATTTTGTAAATCGTAGTAATATTCGTTACATTTCTGAAAACATCTGTGTCAACTATGGATTGACGTCAGGAGTTTGTAGAGGTCAAGTTTAGATCAATTATGAATATAAGGATATCTTTCAATTCATTAAACCACAGTCACTCTACTAGGAGAGTGACTGTGATTAAACATTAAAAACGTATTAAAGCTAATGCAATTCGACAAAATAAATCTTCTTTGATTAGCAATTCTTTTAATTAAACACTCCCATTCCTACATCTGTCATTAGAATGCACGAAAACATTTTTATATAGTCAGTCACACAAATCCTGATATTATATGTTTTCTTGTCAATCCATCATTCGCAGTCGTCACCTGCGCATGCGTTAGATGGCCATAGTGTGTCATTGTTTGAAAACAAGCGTCTACCCATGAGCCTTTGCGTTTTCAGCGTGTACTAGTATTGTTATGGTCGCTTGGAACTCATATCTCGCCGGTGCGCGTGCGCAGGTGACAACCCTTGCGTTTTAACTACAACTCGTGCGGCCAAAATGAATACTAGTACCTCTTGTACATGTTTTGTATATATTCACAGATTCGAGTTCTTTTTGACATGAAGTCATTAGTTTGACGGGAGACGTTTGAATCAGAAAACGGATAAAGTAGTTAAAAATTTATCCAGGGGCACTTGGCAGATATAGATAGGATATATTAGTGTTCTTCAAAATCGAAAACAAACACTTTCCGATGATTTTTTAATAAAAAATTACCCCTCCTTTTTGTGTGGAAAAGTCTTATCGCTGGGAAGATACCGTACGTTCTCTTCTCTTTCTGTTCGAACGTATCTGTGAATTTTAATGTGTTTGTTTCAGATGGAGCTTCCAAAACAACAAAGTTGACCACTGCCAAAGCACTTTCTTGTTGTCCCCCTTTTCCGCGAAATTCGGGACGCACACCTCGACTAATAATAACCAAGTGCCCCCCAAAATTGGTCTGTGATTCAGGCTTTCAGTCTAAAAGATAAAGCGGGGGAGTCGTCACCTGCGCAGGCGTCAGATGGCCATAGCGTGTTTACAAACAAGCGTCTACCCATGAGCCTTTGCGTTTTTTGCGTGTGTTGTTATCATTGCATGGGACTCAATTCTCGCGCGTGCGTGCGAATGAATATACATTATCTGATAACAGTCCCTCCTGTTGAGGGACTGTGATCAAGAGTAGATGTTGGCAAATACGGCATATATATGCTGTAAAAATGTTTTTCTAAAGCATCACCTAACGGCAAATTTCGCTAATGTGCTTTTTACTAAGATTAACACTTTCATTTACTCAAATGACCCGTGAATTGTACAGCTATTTATTACTTTCGGTGGCCCCTCCCAGAATAAAATATCTCGCTGTAGGTCCACCATGAGTAAGACAAGCCTAGATTGGTATACTCGTCAGGACACACGATTTCCCACTCATGTCCCATGAACCGTGTCTTGTTCATATCTATCACTGTATTTTAAATATCACTTTCACTACCAGCGCCAATCAGCTGGTTGCGTGACCTTTCCCTATAAGTTCACTGTATATCACGGAGTCGCGGTTGCCATTACTTGCAATTGGAATTTAATAATAGCGCACTCCGCTCCAGTTGAGAACGTGGTTATTACTGTGATGGCGGAGTTAGACGAAAATATAGAAGCCTGTGATGACCAATTGCTGGTGTATTATTGGGAGTATTCGGTGGATTGTCAGCGGGTGAGTGTTCTTACAATGCGTGATTTATATTTTGGGTACCGCTAAACCACGGTTTCTAAGTTAGGGTTGCCTGACATTTAATAATGATAAGTCACCATAGTGGTATGCGCACTGCCGCCTTATCGTAGCAGTGTTTATAGCCTCTCCCACGCAATGTTTCGGCGAAAGAATTCAGAACAAATTCCCCCTTTTTTATTATTCATTGAGCAGCGGTTAAATTTAGGGTTAATATTTATTTTTTTCATTAAAATTGATTAACATTAATATATATCATAGCCGATATATCCCAGTAACATCCACATTAGCACAGTCTCCGTCCGACAATAATTCATGTTGAGGTATTTTAATTGCACTGTGCGTTACTCGTTCAGCAATCAAGTTCATGTTCTTATTCGTGTTCATAATTAGCGTGGATACTGACCGGCAAGCCCACTGAGGTGATTCTATAGTGTGAAACGGGTGTGTAGAGATTTCAACTTGATCTTGGTAGGGGAGTGTGATATATTAAAGTGAAAAAAAACCCACATAATTATATTTAATTTCACAAAATTTAACGGTTTTAATTTCTGTTTCTGTCCCCAAGATACGATAGAAGTATGAGAAAGCACGCCTGGTTGAACCTCCATTCAATTAAATTGTAATGAGAATACTAGAACAGCGACCCTTTTAATGTATTATGATCGGACCATTCTATGTTCGTATCCCAGCCTATGAATACAGTAACCCCGCTGTGATGGCAGGCATTGACCAGCTATGACATTTGTATTGTACATCTCCGTGCAAAGATCACTGCACTATTTAAATAATCAACCCAACAGAGAGCGAGAGATAGAGATAAATAAGCGGCTCTTGTCAAATTGTGGTATACGTACACGCCTGGTGTGGTGTTACAGTGCGGTTATGGTGCCGATCTAATTCTCCGAATAACACATATAAAGAAATATCAACCGTTTTTAAATTATGTAGCAAACTATTATAGGTTGAGCGATTATTTGCGCCGACAAGTCAGATTGAAATGAAACTGTTTGGCTTGGCAGAGTCGAAGTATAATAGTGTCTACTCCCAAACATTTAATGTATTTATTCCAAACTCTAATGATGTTATCCATCTATAAGCCACCAATTGAATAATAATGCAAGTACAAATAACACGTGACGTGGCGTGGCTTGTCGATACAACTCCCATCGCCAATAATGCCCGCCACCAATTCTCAAACTCAACCCCATCGCCAATGATAATGCCCGCCATCAATTACCAAACTCAACCACATCGCCAATAATGCCCTCCACCAATACCCATCGACAAATCATCTATAATTCATTTATTGAAGTTCAAGGCTTGCAGGTAAAAATACGGATTTTCACAAAGTTATTACATATATATATAATCACACAAGGTTTTTGTAAATTTCATAACGTCACGTGATTTAAGGAATATGTACATACTAGTACGTAGATTTTAAGTTCGTAACGGTAAACTGACCTCTATTAATCAAAGAATGTTTGATTTCTGACAGAACGTTATAAATAATAACTTATTAAGCCTAACAGTGACCAGCCTAAAGTTCGACCAATCAACCAACTACCAGGTTTGCCCACGGTTTTCCATTATAATATTCAGAGGTTGAGAACTGATTTTTTTTTTAATAATGTCCGTACTTAGTTACAGATTTCACCCGGCAACAGTTCTTTAGCATACTATAATTCGTACTTTTGATTATTTTTCAAATAAATAATTAAAAAAATTATTTAACTTTACAATTCCAGGTTCTCCTTGCTTTAGAAGAGAAAAAAATTGATTATAAAAAAATAGCCGTCAATATTCTAGAATTAGAAAACGTATCCCCATGGTACATGAAGATCAATCCAAGAGGTGAAGTCCCAACCGTAGTTCGCGGCAACGATGTTGTCATGGAAACCGAAACAATCCTACATTATCTGGATGATACCTTTGTGGAAAGTGAGTATATTAGGCAAGGTCGTTATACATTTTAAAAGTTATGGGCATTATGCCATCCCAGCCATATAGTGGCATTCATGCATGATAATAATGAAAATACGGGCAATAATTCAATCTGTATCTGTATATGCATGTATGTAGGTAGGTCACCCCCCTTCCTCCTCCACATACTCACATACAAAATTACAGTGGTCCATCCTATTATTTCCATCACAGCGACAAGACTTTGCCCCGACGAAGAGTCCGAGGAAGGGTTCCGATGTAAATACCAGTTGAAATTGGCGAGTAAGATTGACTTAGTGAAGTTAAACTTCGGAGTACCTGTATTGCCTGAAGTTGCCGGAAGTGACGATGTAAAAGAAAATTTTACTGCCGATGACGTCACTGCACTAGTGAAATGTAAGTAGAAATCACGCTAATAGTTAGTAGGTGTTTTGTGTTGTGGACCTTCCTACGAGTCACTCATCCTGTAAACGGGGTCTGGGACGGGCAGTAAAGTTTGTTTGCAAATGAACTTTGAACTCGATGCGTTGTTGCATCATGGGTAATGTTATGACGAAGTGTACGATTGTTGTATGGCGTTATTTCAGTCTATGTAATTTTCACAAATAATTGAAGCATAAGTTTTGTAATATTGAAAAATCTACGTGGCCAAATTAATTATGAGTTGTCGTAAACTAACATTGTTGCTTTTTCAACATCCATGGCAGTATTCTTTCTTTGAAAATGCAAAAAACTAACACGCATGCGCAATAATTGTTATTGTACGTATCAAAACAACCAGTGCGCATGCGTAGTAGAGAATTACTTTGATGTGTGCTACAAATCAAATCCAATGCAGTATCAAACAACAATATTACAAATGTTTAACGGTGTTCATATTTTACTTTTTGCGATCTGAATTGTTGCTGTTTCTCACAAGTTTAGTATATTTCTTTGGTATAGGGCGGATACCTATTCAGTGTGAATGAATATCTCATATTTCACACATTTTACATAAACTGGGGAAAAAAAATCTTCACAAATCTGTAGTAGGAACACTTCATATTCACGGTGATCTGAAGTACCCCCTCAGTTTGCTTGAAATCGTGTGCACGGTAACTTAGCAACCAGCATAACCCGGCACATGTCAGCTATCAGTAACTTATATTGTATTCTACATTTCAGTGTTCAGAGAGTCTCTTGTCGAGAGGTGTGACCAGCTTGCCTCTGAAAACCCGGATTTAAGTGATGCCTATGCGAAGAAAAAGGAATGGGGACTGGCTTTCCCTGAATCGCCCGACGCGGAATTGCTGGACGCTGCGCTGAAAATGACGAATGATGTGCTAACGAAACTTGAAGAAGACCTCACGACAAGAAAAATGGAGGAGTCACCAGGTAACACGAGATTGCAGTGGCGGAAAGAATATATCAACCACACAAACACACAACCAACCAATCAGACAAAGAACGAAAAACTCCCAAAAAAACGAAAGAATTTCACAATGTCGAAAACGGAAAGACTTTATCGTAGTGTTATGGCGATAAGCTAACTGAAATAATGGAGGAACGCAGATGATCACTGAATTTCATGATAGCAAGTGTACTCACGTACACTGGCAAGATCATATCAGTGGCAGTTTCGGGAGTTGTTATTAAAGCGGGAGGGTCGTCACCTGCGCACGCGCGGGAATTGGGTCCCAAGCGACGATAAAAACTTACTAAAAACGTAAAAGCTCATGTTTGTAAACAATGACACGCTATGGCCATCTGACGCATGCGCAGGTGACGACTCTCTCGCCTTAAGATAATTAACAAAAAAAAATGTTGGCATTAGAAAGATTAAGATAATATATCGCGTGTATTGATATTCCACATATCTTACATAATAGTTAACTTGAATATAGTGTCTGATTGTGTTATTTTTCGTAAACACAGTCCGATATTGTCCGGAAATATGTATTTGTTTATGTTCCTTTGTATTGACTATTAACAATAATCTGTGTGTATATATCATGCTTTTAGATAAGGAAACTTTGAATTAATCAACAATTTTGTAATTGTGTTTCCCAAGAGAGTTTATATTTATCAGGTTTTTCTTAACAGTACATTATTAAATAACAAATTGAACAATATTTTGGGCAATAAAAATGACAACTTTTTGTTTGCCCTAGTTTAAAATATGTTGGTTTAAACGTAGCTTTAACTATTATGTAACTCATATGATATTGTAATATCAACATAACAAAGCTATTCCTTGTTTTTTATAAATATTTATGAATTTCTCAGTTGAAACTGAAACGAGAGGTTTCTATCGACCGAAGGAATAAAATTGAAACCTTTTCGGATGACATCATTGTGCACCGTGATCGTCGATTGGCTGGTTAGGGTCAACTGCCATTGACGATTATAAATATTTATACTGAAGTGAACGGGTTTGTTGAAAACAGTTTGCTCATACATAAACATAGAACAAATACATATTTCCGATCGTCAAAGAATTTTCCGAAACAAGACTCATATGTGTTCTCATTTTAACCTCTAGATACCACATGGTGGCTGGTTGGCACAACATTCACCACTGCCGATATTTACTGGGCGACTATACTACATCGATTGGAACAACTGGGTTTGGAGCAGAGATATTGGGCTAATGGGAAGCGCCCTCATGTATCATATTACTTAGACAGAATCAAACAACGCGCAAACTTGTCGGTCACCGAACAGACAGGGTTCATGGGATTTGTTGGACGGGTGAAAAAGAGATGGCCCTGGATGGCCGTTCCTATCGGTGTAGTGGCTGCTGGATTAGTTGGACTCCTTATCCTGTAAACGAAATAGTTTTTCTTCTATCAGAATTATTTTCGAGAACTGCGTATTGAACACCATATTGCCTTATCCCAAACTACGAATACTACAACCCAGGACAGAATGGCGCGTGCGTTGCGTGTCTTGAGACGCGTGTATTTATCGTTATGTCTCTTACAGCGCTTTCTAATTCCACGCGCTATATGAAAATTACCGTGTAAGGCGCTCATCACAGTTGACGTTGACACAAGACCACTTCCCCGAAAGTAGCGAGACTGGAGTGCAAAAATGCACCAAGAAGCATAATATCACGCATGCAAGTTTACGTTACACCCCAAAACGACATATGCGAGCGTATCTTCAACTTCCGGGAAAGTCGTCTATTGCAACACCCTTCTCAAGCCAATCTCACTACAGTCAGCGCTAAAAGAAATAGCCGCGCCATTCTGTCCACGGTTGTTTTATATGATGAATCATAATCCAGTTTCTTGGCATGTAGTATTATACAGCAATGTTATTCTCGCCCATATTGTATCTTTAAAATTATCTGTTCACGAAGCGCCCTATTGTGACCAGTACCGAGAACAGATAACAACACGAGGCGAAAAAGAATGTCAACCTTATTTAATCTGAAATATCTGATGAATTTTCGGGCAACCGCGTGATCTTATGTGGCCACAAAGGCCATGCCGACTGAATCCACCTGCAATTATTGTGCTTCTGGCGTCATTGTTATAAATTATTGAATTATTCAATAATTGTCTTCTGATCTGGTAGAGCGTTTTAATGATTCTGTATCGTCTGAAACTTTTTTATGATTGGCTGAGGGTGAATGGTAACTAGTTATGTCCTGTTTCTCCCCTCCCCCTCTTCTATTTCCTCCATTGGCTCTGTATATATTTAATTAGAATACTTGCCTCCGATTACACGCATTCTGTGAGGGCGCTTCCAAGTGGATCCGGTCGGAATCTCCTTCGCGGTCGTTCTCGTCACGTGATCATACCTGTCTGAAGATGATTCAATCACATTATTTTGGCTTTCATATTCATATCACGGTCGCTCTAAATATATTTAACGCTAAATAATAGATAATTCTCCATTCACTGCGAGATCCCGTGAAAACAGGACAAATAAAGGTCGTAGTGGCGTCGGTTCAAAACATTGTGTGAGATTTGACAAACGCTAAACTATTGTAGGGGTATTTCCACGCTTAATGTGTTATGCACATTTGATGATTGTCAATTTTGGAGTAAACGACATTCTTCTCTCTGAAAGTTATGAATTTTGAGATTCCAGTTCAAAATCAAATCATCCGATTTTTGCGGCAGACGTCCGAATCGCGTCTTTCACGCATTACGCGAGACCTCGCAGTGAACGGAGAATTATCTTATTGTTGTGGAAGTTTTAGACTGTGTTTTTTGTGAAAGCAATAATATGATCTTAACAAAAACGAACTGACCGCACGCGCACAATACGAGCCGAGGTGGCCACACATGGTAACGTGGTCGATCAACATTTTAACTGTGATGTATTTTTGTAGAATTATTGAATATAGAATTATATATATATATTACTTAATAATATGACAAGACATATTCAACGTCAATTCGAGCGAATAAAAATAAAATATGTTACTTAATCGAAGTATATTCGGTGTGCATTCAGTTAATGGTGAAATATCGCCGACCAAATTAAATCAGTATTTTAATATTTATATGTGATAATATTATCAGCGTTTGTAGTGTGTGATTTTGTTTTCCTTGAAGTAAAATGAAGTACGTGTTACATAAGAATAATATTAAAATTTATATTGTAATCTAATGGATGCAGAAAATCCGATTCTTTTTTCTTGCCATATTATATGCAGACACAGAAAGAATATATAATTGTGCGAATTGAACTTGGTGCCACGCTGAGGTTCACTTTAAGGTATTTATAGCCTCTGAGCGTGGGAATTGATGTTATGTTGCCACTTGACCTAGGTCAATTTATTAATCACGCCCATTTCATTTTAGTTTTTTTAAAAGAGAACAGATTTGCGATGAATTATGCAGTCTGAAGTGCTTCTAAAATAAAATAATATAAAAACACTATATATGAATGCCATACTAAACCCTTGTATTAAAATTAACGTCGGTGAAACGACGTTTTGCTTTTAACGGACAACAACATATCCAGACGCTGTGAACGCCGGCCCTTTATCATTTACGTCAGAGAAACGCTGCGTCGTTAAAGGGCGCAGCCTAGTAGTAACGACGAACTAGTATGTATTGTTTCACGTGGAAAAACAATCCAATCTATGTCTCATGCGGTGACATACTAGCACACACTGATGTGATTGATTCGACCTCATGTAAACATTATTTAAACTCGATAACTTCCATGGTATACAAGTGTAAGAAAGGCATTATATTAAATTACATTAAATTACATGAAACTAGAAAAAAACGAATACATTACTATATATTAAAAGACTTGTTTGATTTTAATACTATTATTATTTTCAAATTACATTTTCTGACAAAATCGTGAAAACATTTTTGTTTAATATACAATGACTCGGAAGATTAGGCGAAGAAACGTTCTTGCCTTCAACTGATATAGAATACTTGTAACGCAAAGTATTGGCTCTAGGTTCCTCTAGTATGATTTGATTGGATAATCTAACAGACTAGACGGGGTTAAAGGGCGATAGTCGTCGCGCCGCGCATGTGCGACATTTGAGTTGATAAACATTGATTTTCCCACAATCCAATGCGCTCTTCATCTAATGGAAATAACAAATATAAGGTTTGACCTGGGCGCGACTTTCACTAATTGCCGCCAATGACTCCTTCGATACCTTCAAATCACCTAAAAAAAATACCTAATTAAAGCTTGGTAACGTCCCAGTTTGTACTCGTTGATCTGCGCAACAGCCAAAGTCGCCATCTTTGTTTATATGAGACCCATATATCTTGCGCATGCGTGGCGCGACGACTATCGTCCTTTAAGTTATGGGTTGCTTACATGATGTCAACCAAGTTTTAACTTAACACGTTTATACATAGCATGAGTGAAAAGATGTTGTACAATTCCATTAGTAAGTCACAAAGCACGTTTTTCTTTGTAAACACCCTAAACAGTTGTACAAATCCAAATATTAGGCCAATAATTAATATGTGATGATATAAAAAAAATGATAAAACATCTTGCGTAAATGTAAATGTTTTCTAAATATGTGGTAAAACCCCACTTATCTAAGTTTATGATTTGTTGGACATATGCCTAAGGTTGTAACAGTCATCTACAAATGGTACGCACGAGGAATTGACAAGATGTAATTGCAAGTCTTTTGCGTAGTACATGTAGCTGCCCTAAAATGGGGCCTTGTGGCACACCAACAACATCATGAGTTACCGAGTTTCCACAAACTTGACAAATTTTATACGCATACGGAAATATGACTTGAACATGACAATGGTTGGTGGATAAAACCAAATATCTGATATTTTGACAACAGTATTACATAATCAACTATATCTAAAGCTTTGCTGAGGTTCAGGGATACAGAACAAACAATATCTATTTTGTCAATTTCCTTAAACTAAGCGACTATATCATACCAACGAGTGCAGTCGTACAGGAATGTTGAGCATGAAATCCAGATTAATTACTGAAAAACAAAACAAATTACTGTTTTTTTATAAATTTGATGAAATTGTTATGAACATGTGTTTCGATAATTTTGAAAGTGCACGTATCGGTCTATGATTTTCTAGTTTGTATTTGGAACCGTTTTTAATAAAAAAAAAATAGTAATACGTTCCAGCTTCTACGAAGATAGAAATTAAAATTTGCTAATATAGTGATTGAACAGATATGCTATATGGTCAGTAGCCATCTTTAAAAACCTTGGGGGGGGGGGGGTAAATCCGTCCCAGGAGATATACATTTAGTATCCAACACGAGCAGTTGAGACAAGAGTAAGGTCTCATGCCACTAATTAACCAATGCCACTAATTAATCAATTTAAATGCCCAGCAAGAACCAATGAAATTTTTTAAATATTATTTTTCTCAGGTGCTCCCTGTTTGAGGGCGTAATCACCTGGGTCAGAGGTGAGACCAACATGTGGTCTTTTGTTTACTACTTAGCGGCTGTGTACCTGTGGGTTTATTCTGTGTGTTAATGGATGTTCTAATCTTGGTGTTTTTCCAGTGATTTCTCTTGGTGCAATCCAAA